TGTGTGTGTGTGTGTGTGTGTGTAAGCGATACGGTGTTGAGAGTGGAGCATCGAAAGGAGGAAGAATAACTTCGGACTTGTAGACAGGGTGATCAGCTGTTGTCGAGATGGTTGGAGAAACAGAGGAAATGGTTCACGTGGTAGAGGGTTTAGGGGGCAGGAGGGGACGATGTGAAGCTTGGTTTGAGTGCCAGTCAGCGTCTGGGCGCCTTGCACGGCCCACAGCCCACTTCAGTTGGGGTCTCGAGTTCGGCGCCCCTCCGACCCGGGGCCACCGGGGTTGGGGCCAAGTCAAATCACATCTGTCACATCACTTTATTGGCCGGTCTTGTGGGGCATGTTTGGCTCGAGGGTGGACACAGTCGATGCGGTCCATGCTACAGCCGGTACAGACGGCAGGGATCGCGTCCGGTAGGGATTTGTCCAAAAGGAACGGCAGGTTCACGTTAATGAGAGCAGGAGAAGAGCCGTCCACCCGAAGTCATGATTATGCCAGCGCCAAAGAGGTGGGGAGAGTGGGAATTGGGGACTTCTGGCTGGTGGTGAGGAGGCAATGAGCCCGAGACTGTGGACTGGATAGGTCATGTTTTATAGGGCCTGCCAAGAAGGACGCCTAGACACCTCTGGGTCTCGAGTAAACTGACTTATTCACACACACACACACAAACACACAAAAGTATGAATGAGGGCACAGGTGAACTCCCACAGTCGACAGGCTGGCAATCACTTTTGCAGGGGACACCTCGAAAGAGTCGACTTTTGGCCTCATTCACCCAAATCCAAAATGGCGATTCTACAACTGCCTGAACACGCCCCATTCTCGATCGGCCTGTCCCCAAACCGGTCATGAGATCAAGGCACATCGTGAAGCGGGACTCGAGCATCCGCCGGGCTGGGCTTGGCTTGGCTGAATACATTTCATCTGCAAATGGAGCTATTAGACTTCTGGAGAAATATGTCGTCTCATACAGTCTATGCGAATTGATGTTGTGTGTGTATGTGCGTGTATGCATAGAAGCTATCGGTAATTATGGAA